CGCTACTGAGTTGTAAACTCATTTTTAGTTGAGAAATTTACATCTCAAGTCACTTTTCATCTTTATAATATCACTATGGATCACATATAGCTACTAAGACACTTTGTTGGGTCTTTCAACACAAATGAGGATCCGAATTTCCAACTCTACCTTTTTTTCTTTTAGCAATTAAAAAACTTTTATTTCATTTTTCTAAATTTTCAGAAAAAGTTATGTCTCCTTCTCCGACTTATTTTCCTTCTCCATCTTTATCCACTCCAACTAGGCTTTAATCTTTCTCTCCTCTTTTTCAATTGTCTCTTCCTAAACCTATTACCATTCCCAGATCACCTACTCGAAACCTTCCACCTTCAGTTTCAAACCACCGTCAAATCCCTCATATGGCAGCAGAAGATGATCTTCATCTTCTAACTTCATCGTCCCGCTTCCTATTTCAGATGGGTTATTAATAGGAGCTGTGGTTGAAATTGCCATCGGAAAAGTTTTAATTTTTTTTAATATTAATTTTTTTTTGTGTGACAGTGACTCTTGTTTGTCTTCTTTTTGAGAAGAAACGAAGAAAGGAGATGCTTACTATACTCCTCTACTACTACTATTTTTGCTCCTAAAGGTATTAATTTTCTTAATTTGGCAAAAAGTTGTAATCTTTCTGTAGAATGTTATTAAGTTTTCATAAAATTTCAATTTATTTTTTTGCAATATTGATTTTTTAAGTTTTTGAATGATGTTGTGTTTCTTAAATGGAGGACCTTACTCTGGAAAACAAAAGCTACAATGACGGCAAAAAAATGAAACACCGCCATCAAAACATGTTCTCAAGTCCTCCATCTTCACTGCAACATCCTTCTCCACTATCGCCTATCATGAGCAGTGGCGGCAGCTCCAACTACTCAGCTGGCCTAATACTTCATCCACCCTCTTTACGGCTTGTGTTAGGATCCTCCAAAAGCACAATCACATACAAAGAGCTAGCTAGAGCCACCAATGCTTTTTCTCAAGCAAGATTTTTAGAATAATACTTAATTTATGTGTCCAAAGGTTATTTTTGTGTTGCCTAATGGGAATAAGTTGCTGTGAAACAGTTGAAAGTTGGCGGTGGACAGGGAGAACTAGAGTTCCAGGCAGAGGTTGAGATCGTTAGCAGAGCACCACAAACCAAAAGTCATTCTCTTTTTTTGGGTTAATGATTGTGTGTCTACAACTGTAGTTTTCCACAGTTGAATCGATATGTATGATTTGTGTTGGATTATAATCTCTTCTGTTAGACAATCTTTCTCAAACTTAAGATTTCATAAAACTCTGTTAATAATATTTTTATGTGATTTAAAGAGATGCATACATATATGTGACAAATGTTGAGGCTTTGTAGAAAGAAACATGAGCATATTAAGCATGGACATCCATACGTATGTGTACATGTGTACAATCATGTATATGTTCACATGGACATCCATACACATGTGTACATGATTGTACACATGTACACTAGTCATTTATACAATCTACCATGTCCATGTGGATATTAGACATAAGTGTACATATAAATACGAGATTCATGACTTTGATCAAAATTTTTTGTGGATTCTGAAGAACAATAAGCATATATAATACAACTGAGGAAGACTCGATGTATGTTTCCGTCCTTGGTTTACATTTGCAATCCCCTCAAATGGCCAATGATAACTTTGTAATATGATGTACACATGGAAATTTTTTAACTAGTGTACACGTGGATAATGTTAAAAGATGTACACAAGTCTCATTCATTCTCTTCCTTTTCTTCTTTACACAAGTCTTATCCCTTCTCTTCCTTTTCTGTTTGATATAGTCAGGCATGGCGAGACAGAAATATTCAGACATGCATCTGTCGCAACTCCTCCTTATTTACACCAACCCAAGTCAGATTAGTAAGCCCACAACCTCTCCTCACCGTACAGTGGCCGTGGAGGAAACATTAGACAAAGAAGAACCCAAAAGGTGAATACTTTGAGTCTTCTGGTTGGAGAAATATTAGAGCGTTGGACCACATAACTAACCATTCACGGAAGACGGAGGAAGATGGAGGAGCTATGTTTACCAGCGGTGGTAAATCCCGACCTTCTCTTCCTCAGTGGCGGAGGAAAGGATGAAGAAGAGTGCGAAGAATTTTTTCTGTAATTTGACTACAACAAAAATATAAAATTAAACAGAGGAGGAGGAGAAGAGATCTAGGATCTCATCGTTTTTTCCATTTTCATCGCTTGAACCGTAATTAGTCGCGCCGACGCCGTCATTGTCTTCTCCACCGACCCTTCATCCAACGCACATACTTAAAAAAAAAAGGTGTATTTAATTTTAAGATAAATGTAAAAGGTACTTGACAAAATTAGTTTGGGGTACTAATGTCTTTCACCAACCTAAAAGTGTGTCAGTAGCAAGAATGTACCTAAAGTGTAATCAATTCTTATAAAGTGACTATGAATGCAAATCTCTCTTTTTAGTTCCCAGCCGTTGGATCCTTATAGCTTCAAAGCAAGGCAAACGAGTCAACAACGACCACCAACCAACCGAATTTTACATGTTTGTATCATACTTTTGTGTTTGCTTCAAATGAAACCCAATTTATACTATCTTCTTATAAATGACTAGGTTCATAGCTCCGCGCAAGCGCGGAGCCGGAGACAGTGATGATGAGTTATGATGTTTTATAGATGGAATTTTGTCATTTTTTGGACATTTTTTTTGTTTAGGGTTTAACCGAAAACCCGACTGAATTGACTTGATATACGAATGAGTGAAAATTCATATGCTTTGAAATATTCATATATTATTTTAGTAATGATTTTTTCGAATATTTGTGTTAGTAGTGCTTTTATGTCCAGGATGGGTGATTTAATATGTTGTCATTGTCTAATATGTAGGTTGGTAGTATATTATTGTTAAATAGTAAATTAGCATTTTTAAATTCTTTTTAAAGATTTTATTCAATTATACAAAGAAATATAGTTTAATGGATTGAAGAGAGAAAGATGAAACGTGTTTATTAAGGGGTTGTGTGGAATGTTGAGAGATTAATCTTTATTAGTGAGTAAAGACCTGTTTTTATTTACAAATAAGATTGTTTAACAAATTCATATGTGTTCGTATTTCTACATTTTTTTTACGATTTAATTGGATATTAATGTTATTAGTGAGTTAATAACCATATGTAGCTAAACATAGGTATTTGTTAATATACAACTATAATATGGAACCGAAGAGAAAATAATTTTGTTATCCGAAAAGAATTATAGTTTGTTGTTTTCAATGTGCCATGATATGTTTTGAAAATATATAACTGTAGTTTAATAATGCTAATGATTCGTATAATTATATACATGTATGACTAAGATAGTTGTTTTTTTGTATTTGTCAAAAATATTTTGTGGTAGTTTAACAATGGAAATGGTGGATTAAAAAGTTTAGTCGTATAGGACTTATATTCGAACACAATGAAAATGTATTCGAACTGGATTGTTTACTCGCCATTTTTGTTTCTCCTCGTCATCTTCAGCAGTGTGACAAGCTCTTGTGATTCTTGGTCTGATTGCGTTTTTAGTGTGTTATTTTGTGAAATTATGGTTAATCTATAGCAACATGGAGGAGAGATTTGCTCACCTCAGTTAAGACTGTCTCCACCGCATTCCGTACTCAGTGAACCTATGTTGATTCGGTGTTCTCGGAACCTGCAATAAGAAGGTTTGAACTTGTTGTATGACTTTGTTTCTATTATTATTAGTTTCGTTTACTAAAACCCATACTGAATGTTTTGAGGTTCTATATGTTAATTTGGTTGGTATGGCTTATGTTTACTTTAACATGACAGAGAGACTCGAAGGCTGCATGATGGACGCCGGTGACGCTAGTTTTAGGAATTGGAGAAGCAGAGAGAGACATTTTCTAGAAGATGGTTAAAGTTAAGAGGAATAGATAAGTTTTGTGGAGATGCAGATAGGGTTCATCAAAGATGAGAATCATATATATATATATATAGGATTTACAAAGGGGATACAATTCAAGAACATTTATGAGCAAGCGATGTAAGATGGGGAGATGAAGAGTTCACCGGTGAAAAAAATAGATTACGAACAAACACATGGCGTATCTCTGTAACTCAAACCTGTATGAGACGATAGTGAAAGGAATCTTAACTCATTTTAAACATTAACAGTTTACAATATGGGAAAACTATAACTGTTGTAAACTTGAGGATTTTCTTCATATAATGTGATTAATCCCAATTAAAAATGAAACTCATAATACATTTTGAGGCTCGAACTTTAAAGGAGGTCATAGATGTAAAGGCTTCCGGCTAAATATATATTAGTTTCGGTTATCAATGTACAAGTTATCCCGTAGTTTGGTGGTATGAATGTTAGTATTTGTTTCTTAATAACCCGGGTTCGAATTATATGTTTGACAATTTTTCACATTTTTTAAAGTGGGATCCACCTAATGCTGATGTGGCGTGCTGAGGAGTCTTGAAACTCAACTATTATAATATAGATTATGAAATTTTGGGTTTGTGAATCCATGCATCTCTTACAATAAGGTCTAAACGATGTAATTTTATTTTACTTTGAATAGTAGACTTCTTCCAAGATGAATTGATCATGCAGTTTTAGAATATTGATAACCAAATGACTTAACCACTAGATCAGTTCTTCCTTGGTAGATATATATATATATATATATATTAGTAGTATTATCCATAAGTTTACAGACAACAGGGAAAAAAGAAGATGCCTCTAAGCTCAATTAAAAAATATGTTTAATTGCATAAACATTATATTTTTGTAACATCAATACTTACAATCAATCTCAAACCAATGAGAAAATAAGCTGTGACTTAATGACATTAGTAAAGTAAGTATACATTGAAAAGTTAAGAAACAAAGGTGAAATCGTCTCTATTAACAAATAAAGAAACAAAAATCTAAAATGAATGTTTGTGTAATAATAAGTATATAATATGGTTTTGATTACAGAGAAGAAGCAAGTAACCAAAGAGTGGTAAGTGAAGAAATGGAGATAGAGATCCAACAAAGGAAAGCTAAAGTAACAGAGAGTTGATACCTCCAACACTCTGCTTCAAAACTGCAGCTTCCTAAATCCCCAAAGTATAAAACCATGATCCCTGCAGAGGACGAGGCTCCCGCTAGAGACAATGTTGCTGTTACCTTAAACACACACAAAGATGGTTTAAAGTTTTTAAATCTTTGATCATTTCTTATGAGAGAGAGAGAGAGAGAGAGAGAGAGAGAGAGAGAGAGAGAGAGAGAGAGAGAGAGAGAGAGAGAGAGATGCTTTACCCAATCTCCAACTACAAAGAGGCTAACGAAAACCGGGCTAAGAAGCGTTTTCTTTCTCAATAAAGCAAAGGTGTCTAGTATAGCAAGACCGGAACTCCATATGACTTGCAAACCCATTGCTGCAATTAGGTAGCTGCAAACCATAAACTTCCAAGTGTAAGAACAAAAGAAAGGAGCAACAAAATACGCCAAAAAAGTTCACAGCTTTCTCCTCTACATATATGCTTTGACTATGTAAGATCGTAACAGAATAAAAGATCCAACAAATCAGATTACGTCAGCTTTGAAATTGTCAAGAACAAGATCTTCAAGCTATCCTAACTATTAGACTCAACTCAATTTAAATTGAGTTGAGTACAGAGGTGTGTGTCTAAAGGAGTTAAAGATTGTAAAGGAAGCAAATTTCTCAGGACCGGATCTTAAATCTTCCCTAAAATTGCAAACCCACACGAGTCAATAACTCAATTCCGAGACTGAAGAGTGGAGTTTTACCAGAAAGCAGTGTAGTTGAAGAACGCACCGGAAGAAACCATGTAAGAAATGGAGGCAGCAGCGAAAACACACTGAGAAATTCTCAAGACAAGACCAGTGAAAGTCCCTGGTGTTCCAGGGATATCTATCATTTCTCTTCCCAAAATACCCCCAATTTTAAGACGACCCAAGTCGTCAAAATATACTCTTTCTTTACTTCTCCTCTGATTCTGGAAAGCTCAGGCGATTTTTCCGGGAAGAAAAGAAAAATATGAGGTTTTTTGGGTTTCCAGGGAATGAGATTGAAGGATCAGAGGAGTAGAATCTCGGGAAATTGAAGACTTTTTTTTTCTTTTGTTCTTTTTTTTTTTTTCTTTTCAATAGAAAGGGCACATAGAGAGGTATGGCGAAGAAGAACAAATGCGCATTTATTTGTTTAATGGAGGGTGGAAAAATTAAGGGAAATTTGCCAAAAGAGCATCGAAAAACACAACTATTGTCCCCTTAGAATAAAATCAAATTTTAGTATTTTTGGACCTTCATTACCTTTTTTGTATATAAAAATTCATAGAAATAAATTTACAAGTTAAAAAATTGAGGAAAAATATACAATATGAAATAGAGTAGCATGTGAATATATGAAAAATATTTTTAGATTCGAAAAATGTTTGGAATAGTAAATTCAAAAATTGGATAAATGGGGTAGTACATCAAATCTATCATCTACGGCTGTTTAGAGTGTACAATCTACTAACAACTAATCGATCTAAAGGGTTTAGAATGCGTAATACACCAAAAACATTTACATCTACGATTGAAGAATATGATAACTGTCATTCCTTCTTTGTTCTGGAGTTTTACTAGAACATAACATATACTAAAGATCCACGCGTCTACCTTGGCAGAACATATCTTCTTAATTTTACTGTTTTATCTGAGTCCGTGGGATTACGTATCTACTGGTTAAACTAATGGGAAATTTGGTAGAATGTATCTTCTACCAACGGTTTTTGAGCCACCATCCGAAAATCTAGAAAAATCCAAACAATAATGGTTAGTAAATATTCTCTAAATATTTTTATTTCTTTTTTTAATAGTTTTTGCTTTCAACGTTAATCTTCTTCTTCCCATTGTGAACAAAGTATGAAATAAATAAAGTAAAATCTATATATACAATCTAAAACACCTAAATCCCAGAAATAGTCACTTAATCTAGTGGTCTTGGGCGTGTCATCTTAGACGCCCATCCGGTTCGAGGCCTCTTCCCTACTTTAGTTATTTTTAATTGTTTAGGTCTAATGAAAAACAGAATTACATATGTGCCCTTGTCTTTTTCCTTCTAATTTGCCGCCTCTTTGTTATATCACCATTGTTGATGTAACAAAACTCACGATTCGCCTTCATTTTCTTCGTATTTTACATAGATTTACTAGATTTATAACCCAACATCCGATTTAAACTTTAAACTCATGAAAACTGAATAATCATTATTTTTATTTTTTTGAATCACCTAAACCGCATAAAAACATAGCATAACACGGCCACGTTTCCTTAAACCACGGGCTACGCGGTTAAAACGCGGAGGATTGCGGAACATCACCAAATTAGACTGATTCGCTACAGACCTTCGCCGTGGAACGTATACTCGGACGCTTAATCGGAAATCTGGACAAGTGGTTTACCCAAAAAAAAAAAAGAAATAGGAGAAAGTGTTAAGGAAAGCAGCTAAGACGCATTCTTGAATGGTACGCAAATGATCCAAACCAAAACACACAGAAGAACTACATAACGTTACATAACCAGAATTGGCAACAGATTTCACAAGTGCCAAGACTATCTACAACATAAACTAACTACTCTTACATGGATCACAGTAACTTCTTTCTGTACAAAGTACAAAGAAAGAACAAAAACAAACACACTGAACAATAAACAAAGAGTGGGTAGTATATATGGTTCGAAAAAAGGTTGCTATCTAGGTGCAACATAGGGAACTATTCCACTAACAAGGTCAGAGCCAGAGACATCCATAAACCATTGCTATCTTGCAGACCGATGTAATAATAGTTGACTATATCATAGAGCACTAACACACAGACTTCAGCACTCTTTAACGCAACAGACACTATGAGTTCTTTATTATTAATCTGTCATGGTTTCAAACCGTAGTTATATAGTATCTTCTCCAAGACATTCAACATCTTTTCTTCTGTCAGGTTTTGATAATCTGAGCTCCTTTCTTTAGCATCTTGACAAAACTGATGGGCGCCCTCATAATCCTGCTGGGTTTCTGCAAGCAATTCCTTTATAGATTTATGAGTTGCAATCCTCAAATCTGGTAAAACCTTCTGTAAGTCTCTGACTTTCTTCATGATATCTTCAGATCTATTAACTTCAGTTGAGATTAAGAAGGATTTGATGGGTATGATATCAAAAGCAAGATCACTTTTGATTGAAACAGAGATTTTTGATCGATTTTGGTTGGAAAATTTTTCCCCGAAGGAAGGTTTCAGTCGCCTCGCTAAAGTTCTTTTTTAACAGAGGAATATGATATAAACGGGGTTTTTTTTTCTCTTACCATTTTATTTGATCCCCGTAAAATATTAGAGTAATTACATTTTTTTAAACAAATGTTAATTGTAATTTAAAGTTAATTAGAAAGGACTAAATCGGGTTTTCATTAATGTTTATTACTATAGGGACAATGATTTTGGTTTTGATTCTAAGGGGACAAAACACTAGTTTTTTTGTCCCTTATTAACAAATTTCCCAAAAATTAACGGTGAAAGTGATTGACATATATTTCTGGCGTTTCTTTAATTAATTCATCTTTAAACTTTTGCGTTGTTGAAAGTTCACTTTTTTCTTTTGGAAATTTTTTTAAAAATTTTTTTTTTGGAAAAATTATTTTCAAAGTTTGGTTGAGTATTTTTTCACCTTTTTTTAAGTCAAGTTCATATTTGGACTTTACATATTTCAGAATGGGAAATTTTGGAAAACGTATGAGCGTATGTTAGAATTACAAAACAAATACCATGTTTATTATGACAAATCCATAAGATTAAAATTATTAGAAACATATTTTGGAAGTTAATACGTAAATTATTATTTAATAGAATTGACAAAGTAATATAATTATTTGTGCCATTTTAAATTTCTACGAAAACACGGTCAAATCACGATTTTTATTAATACTATGAATTTTGCGTTTGCATTTTAAAAACTTGACTCAGTTAGTTTTCAAAAACAGAATGATAGGATTTGAATTATAAACATTAACAAACCAATATGATGAAAAAGTTGGAACATATTTTATTTTGAGTATTTCTATTTTTATTATGTTGAACAACTTTTACTCAGTTAGTATATGCCCAACTTTACTTAATAATAATAAATCAAATTATAAATGATTAGATAATCACCATGGTGAAAACATCACTATAATATTTGATAGGAATGGCCCAGTTTCAGTCAATTCTAATTTGGATTATTTCTTGGTTTTGTTGAGTCTATGATTTTTATAGCCATTGTAGAGAGAAACAATCCTAGGACCAATGCATTGATGAAGCTCAGAGAGCCGTTGAACAAACTACGACAATTGTGGTTCAACCATTGTATAAATATTTATACAAATGAGGATCGGCTAGATAAACATGACTAAAGATGACCGGGTGATTGTAGTCAAATGGTAAGAAAAGAAGGATTGGAACACTAATATGTTTTAACTTCGACCCATTTGTTATGCGAAACTAAGTGACAATTATTCTTTGTCACTTAACACCGATATAGTTTCATGATTTTGGGTCTATTTGAATATTCGGAAAGGGAGTCTATCAAGGCTACATCTTCCCTTAGGAATTTTAGTCTGGGCTTCTTCATGTTAATCAAAAAAAAACATGACTAAAGATCTACACTTATTTAATGATATACTAGATCTTGACCCGCATGGTAGTACGAGTTTTTTTGAATACTAAAATGCTATAATATAAATTTATCAAAAAATTAATATAATTTTTATATATTATCTAATTTATAATATTATTAAAAAAATAATAATTTGTATATTCATAAATTTTATTTTTAAAAAATTATTATGCAACAATACTAATTTACATATATTTTTTTTATTTTTTTATGATTTGAAAATATATGTAGAAATTTAATTTATTTAGACTTACAAAATAGAGAAGAAATATTTTGGGTGATATTGCTAAAAGTTCTTACATAACTTTTAATTTTTGCTTATAAATCAAAAATAAATCAAATTTTAATTTTAATTAGATCTGACAATAGTTGAAATTTAATTAAATAATTTTTGAAAATATATTTTCAAAAGATTCTATAAGATTTTGTTAGAATTTTCTTTCGAATAAAAATTAAAATATGAAAATATATTATAAATAAGTTATGTCAAATCTAATGAACTTTTTAAGATATGGTCCAAAATAAAATATCACACATGAAAGAAGTTAAGACTTCTGTTTTAATATATAAGAATAGATTTTGATCTGCGCAGTTGCGCAGAATCATTTATAGTTTATGTTTTTAAATTACAATTAAATGTTTGATGATATTTTCTAAACTTAGGTTTGTGTTAGGCTGTATTTATTGGTTTCCGGTTTGATTTTGGTTCGCCTGTGATTTTTTTGTTTTTATTTCATAAAATTTCTTAATAGTTTGGTTAGTTATGAATGGGGGTTTAGTTTGATATTTGTTATTTTAATTTGAAATATTTCTCAGAAACTATATAAAATTTACCTAATTTAATTAGAATATCATTTAATATATTTATTTATTATTTTAAATAAAATGAATATTTTAAAAAAATCATTTTAGAATTTATTTTCGAAAATTGATTAACTAAAATACTAATTATCATAAAATATAATTATAGACTAAAATTAATTTAATTTTCATTTATAAACTAAAATTAAAATTACTTATAGATTTAATTATATTTATTAATGATAATAAAACTGATTAATGTTGTTAGTCATAAAAATAGGAGCATTTGTAGTATTGAAAATAAATTAAGAAGATTTCATATTTTTATTGTATTGATATATATATCCTAGTGAGATATAAATAAGTCCAAAACTTAAATGAGAACATTGATAGGTAGATAAAAATAGGATTCTATTTTAATAAAATAGATGTAGGGATAATTTGAAAAAATACCTTATTTTTTATTTGAATTTGGAAGATTGCACCCTCATTTTTAGTTTTTGAAAATTACACTTTCTTATATATGAAAAGACAGTTTTGTTCTGATTAAATATAAACGAAAAATTAAATAAATTTAAACTTGAAGTTATTTACGTTTGAAATAATTATATACTTCAGATAAATGATATGTCAATGATTTAAGGGATATTAAAGTACTAAATATATATTTTACGTAGATCATACTATAAACACATGAAGAAACTGATATCATATTTGTATACTTGGATGTTGTGGTGTATGACAAATCATTCATACGAAGAATGTTTTCGTACTTTCAAATACTGTAAGAACAACGTTATATGCTCCATGTTCACGCCGTTTTAGTGGCAGTTTGTGATCTTTGTGATTATCCATATCTTTTTGAGTCCTTAATTAAACTTAGAATTTGCTGGATCTACTGCATCTTCTATGCTTGCATCTGTGATTGCCTCAGGATATCACTCCTAAAACTAAAGTTTCATAAAAACGAGTAACAAATATGCATATATCGAGAACTAGAAAAAGAAAAAGATATACAACATAAAAATGGAAAATCAGGGAGACGATACTATACAAAAAAGGAAGAAGATATGTTTCACAAAAATGGAGAACTAAAAGAAATATGAAGAATATACGACCAAGAAGGCGTTTATTTTGTTTATTTAAAAACAATATATATTTGAAAAGGTATTGCGTAGATGTAAAGTAGTTTTGTTTTGAAAATAAAATCATATTCTTGTGAGATTTCGTTTACATATTTTCTTATGAAATATATATATATACTACAATAATTTTAAATATCAAGACTAGGTAATTTAGTCAATTTACATATATACATGTATAAAAGTGTAATTTTCAAAAAAGATTAAATAATGGTCTAGATTTCAACATAAAATCTTAGATAAATGTATTTTTTCCAAATTTACCCATAGATATATCATTATCTGAACTTATAACTTAACATTATCCTGATAATACAAACACACTGGTCACTAGGTTTTATGCAACCGATTTGAAACTTCTGAGCCACGGTCTCATCTCCAAGTTATCTGAAAACTGTGTGCTTAAAGATGATAGGATGATGAGACTCTGGTTAAGTATGATGACGAGGTGGGGAAGATGACAGTACCAGAAAAGAGTACGGCAGTATATCTTGCTGAGGATTTGCTTGTGGAGATACTCACTAGGGTTCCTGAGGCTTCTCTGGCACGGTTCCGATCCACCTCAAAAGGATGGAACACTCTTTTCATAAAAGAAAGGAAACTTGACTACAAGTCTCTTGTTGTCATGTTAATTGATCATAGATTTTATATAGCTAGGCTAGATCTGCACGGCATTCAAGACGACAGCGTTGTCAAGATAATAAGTCAGTTCAGCCTCAATGATCGTGTAGTTGATATACGCCACGTCTTTCACTGCGATGGCCTATTGCTATGCACCACCCTGGACAATAGATTGGTGGTTTGGAATCCATGTTCAGGGGAGACCAGTAGGGTGATCAAACCGTTAAATTTGTACCCTGGTGATGATACCTATGCACTCGGTAAATCCTCTAACAACACGTACACAATCTTGAGAGTGCATCATCATGGAATCGGTTACTTGGTGGAACCATGCCTTGTGGAGTACGAAATATATGACTTCACATCTAATTCGTGGAGGGCTGTTGGTAAGACTAGAGAATGGTCCATTCCACGTATGTGGTGAGGTGGCATGTCTGTGAATGGAAATACTTACTGGCTTACTTTTACTTTTATTCAAGGTCGTCCACGGTCGAGGGATACCTTACAATGTTTTGATTTTTCGACCGAGAAATTTGAACTTGTGTCTCTTCCGGGCGATCCTTTCTCTTATTATGCTTTTGCCTTATCAGTGACTAGAAAAGAGCAAAATCTTTGTTTGTTAATTTTGTCACGTAATGAGGAGGTAAACCATATAGATGTATGGATGGGAACTAAGAATAAAAGTAAACTCCTAACAGTGGAACGAACCCTTCGGTGCAAGTTCATTACGCTACGTACTGGGATGAGTTTCTTGGCGGATCAGGAGAATAAAGTTATAGTGTATCCCACTAAGGATAAGAACTCTGCTAACCGCTTACACATTTTGGGAGGTGATAAACACATACAATTAGTTGACCTTAATGATGAAGGATCTAAATGCTCACATCCTGTCAACTATCTAGGTCCAACTTTGGTTCAAATTCAACAAGGTTCTTTGGGGGTAGCTAGGCACATGGAAAGCACCAGTAACGTGACTTGTAATGGACACACTAGATTATGCAATTGTTATCCAAGTTTTCATGATATTTGATCAATTATAATATGTGTCTTCCTACTCCATAATTAGTTCCTGTACTATTCCCAATTTTTACATATATTTACCAGTTTCAAATAGCTTAAATTGACAGAAAAAAAAAGAAGGGATTTTTATATCTTATTTTGTGTAATTTAATTAAAAAGATTGGTTAGGTAGCCACATGCATATTTTCGATAACCATGCATACTAAGATAATCACACCTGCTTCTACAATAGATTATTATCACAGAATCGTTAGTCAGGACTGAAATAAAACAAACTGGAATAAATACTGAAAGAGAGAGACGTAATGTTTGTTCCTTAACCAAAAGATAACTCGATATTTAAATCAACACATAAAAGACAAAGGGAACCACATGAAATCTGTAAGGGAAGGGTAAGATATAGAAATTGTCATAGTTCTATTCAGTTTTAACTTTGGATTCCTTTTTGGCTTTGCTGAGTTTGTGCTTCATGGTCACGAAAAAGAGCAATGCTCCTACTACGGCCAATGCCTTGATGAAGCTCAAGAGGCGTCGGAAAAACTCGTTATTTCCGAACAAGGCAGGGTTTGTAACTGCGTGATCCGCAAGCTACACAAAACGAACATTACACTCAGTCCTGACAAAGATCTCGTAGTCTAAACTTTATCATACACATGGGCCTCAAGAACGCACCTCACGGAATTTCGATACGGCTTTCTCAATTTGCTCCTCGTCAAAGTTTGACTTGTATAGATTGTGTGCGGCATCATACGACATCGTTTCGTTTATTACCTAAGCAAATAGACAAAACCAGGAGACAGAATAAAATATAAGACTCGAAAGAAAACGTAGGGGCTTAAAAGGAAAATAACAATGCTGTTATATACCCTTTTGAATTTGAGGTAAAGCAGTCCAAGTTCTTCAACGTCGATACGATGGTTGTAGAAATCATGATGTATCATTGTAGCAATACCTTGTTGTAAAAGCTATATGAGCACACCACAAGGAAGCAGATTAATTTGGCATGAAACCAAGAGATCTATACTATAAGTGATGCTTCTCAAAATAAAAGGACTTAGAGACTAAATTTATCAAACTTGCAGACAGTTAATTAGATATACTAAGAGCAAACTTTACCAAGAGGAAAGCTCCAAAGAAGCTGCCATAGATGAATATAAGTCCACCAAGCGTCTTCACTAGGATACTAACTGCCATAAGATGCTTAATCTGATCTCCTGAATAGCCTAACTTCGGTCTCCAGTAATCCTCTGCTCCTTCCCAATTAGAACTAAGCTCCATGTAACTAAATATAACAAAGAAAGAAAATAATCTCACTGGTCGAGTCTAGAGGAGCATCTGATATGGCTAGAAATCTTACATCCGAAATGAGTTGCGATTTTAAGTAATATATAAAGGACACTAGTCCACCATCTATGGTAAAGAAACTTAAAAATTTGAAGCAGCTGGCAACGTTTCTTATGGATTCTTGAAATCATTTGAAATTACCAAAAAAAAAAAAAGAGTAAAGATAGTGAAAAGTAAAACAGAGGAGGTGGTTTATAAGTCTTACTCATTCCAAGCAGAGAAGAAAAAGGAGGATGCAAACAGAGCTCTTCCAATAGTTTCGACATAAGGGAAAGTAGCAACTTTTCTTCCTAAGTTGTTCACTTTTCTCTGCACAAAATCCATCTCCGATGCTTACTGTGCACCCTAAAAAGAAAAATGAAAAGCTAGACGATGATAATGAGGAAAGAAAGTTGGAACGTTCGACGATTGTGTTGAAAGGAAGTCTTACTCTTTAACTATTGTATGGAAGAGGAATTTGAAGATGAAGCCAAAATAAAAATTTGGTGATAAAATGATGATTCACAAGAGAAATTGCAACTCGGTCTTCTTCTTGAGAAAAAATATTTTAAAATGCACGTTCTAAGCGCTTTTTTTAATTTAGAAAGGTATAATCAAACTAATAACACCAATAACAAGAAAGAAATTGAGTCTTTACATATAAGATTTTTTTCTGGAAATTGCAAGGAAACATAGATGAAGATAAGGACCGGTGATGTGCATAGAATATTGCATTGACAGCTGTAATTATGTATACGGTGCACCATTAATCAATACCTCATTCTTTACACCTCTATGAACTTGGTGTGTTATCAAGCAAAAAGCACGAAACTGTAACAAATAAATTATTTAGATCCCAACATAGTAATTCCAGTTCGAACACATACAAACAATTGCTGTAACAGCTCTTAACATTTATTTCAGGTATTCGACACTTGGCTATATAACATGCAAGACTTAAACACTGGATGGACACTTGTTAATTTTAACATTTCACAACCGAACAATATTATTCGTAATTCTATACGTGCAAAAAGAGTAGATAGATGGAAGACAACTCATAAAAGGATTTGGTGATAACAAAAACAGAGACTGTGAAGAGATAGGCTATGTGTCGAAGAAGAAATTAAGTTCAAGGGAGAAGAACATTGACGGTAAAATCCACATAGTCGTATAGCTATCCTTGTGAAATCAATTCGTTTTGTATCTTACATAAGTTTCGGAAAACTAAGAAGATGTGTTTGCTTTTTGTTTGTTTCTTTACTACTACAATCTTGTTTAATCTAGTTTGGTAAGAAGATAGATCCCATTTAAACCCACATGATTACATTAATATCACAACTGTACATGGTCTTCTTAATTTTTCACAAGAATTTGAGTCATGGCAGACAAGAAACCTACTAATCTTATTCTACAGTTAAAAATATACATATTAGCATGCTTTTGTAAATACTTGTTCTACCATAAACATCTTTCGTTGAAGATGGGTTATTGACTTATATGCGAGCAAATTTGTTGTCATGTGAACGCCAATGGATCCAATCTAACCAATAATGTCATTATTATATTTAAGGGCGATATTATCCTAAACAACTGTGTAATGCAACGCACATCTCCATCATATACTTATTTTTGATTAGTAGTGTTTGTTGTGTAAACTTTGACTTCAAAAAACCCAAATCATGATTCTCACTTTCTCTAAGATAAAAACACATGTAATAAATCATTTTATATTATGTGAACATTATTAAGGCTTTGTTTTTTTGATAAAATAATGGTGTTTGTTTATTACGATTTAATAGCTAAACCAACTTTCTCGTCAATGGATGCCTCCATTTCCATTCATCTCTATTATTCTTCTCAACTTATAAACTTTCTATTTAGTTACTTTTGCGCTGCTTCGCTAAAGATTCATCGAAGCCTTTACTTTTCGGAACAAGTAAGCATCTCTGCACCCTAATCAACACCTCAATTCTTGTTTCTTCTAGTGAAAGACAATAAATGAGAAGAAAGTTACTTTTAGAAAAAATAAAATCAGTTTGTTTCTAGAGTTCTTGGCTTAAAAAAATGAGTTGCATAAAGATTCTTATGTATATCCTCTCTATATATGATGATTTTGAAGTGTTTTCCCATTTTGACCGCTACGTAATCAGATTTCATAGCTAAAATTGACATCAAGAACACAATCCGAGATGTCAAACGTCAAGAACATGATGTGCACAACCTTAACAAGGTCAATGCCAGCGATTGCATTCTTCGGTAGAATGGCATTTGCCCTTGTCTTCATCATCTCTGCTATCCAAGAGTAAGAAAATTAAAGTAATCCCTCCAATATTTGAATCGAGAAGGCTTGATCTTTATGTGTCACGTACATTGTTCTCAGCTATGCTGATCATTTTGGTGGCGGTGGCGGGCCGCTAGAGAAGACGGTGGGACCAGCAGTTAATGTGATGACCAAATATGGCTCTAAGGTTCTCACGTTTTACACGGGAATGCAAGTGGTCGCATTCGATGTTAGACTATTAGAGTTTTCGCTCATAACCGCAAAGGGAACTGCAGCTTTGTGGTTCATCTTTGGACAATCTATGCCTGCTTACTTCTTGGTAATACCATAGATTTTCCATCTTGAATCCTTTTTTTTTTTTTTTGCAAGATTCTACTCTCTGAACATATTTTCTTGATTTAGCTCGCAACGCAAATGCTCTCAACTATTATTCCTTTCCCAACCAACTTGAACGACTTCACTCAGGTTAGTAATTAGCTGTGGTACCTAGTAAATCCACTCATATTGGTCTTATAATGTGATCAGTTAATTAACAAATAAAGTAATTGATTTGCAGAACTTGACGTTAATGGGTGCGTTGCTCTATTACATTGGATTAAAGCATACTATCGACAACCTCGAGGAGGGAGAGAAGAGCGAGGAGAATGAGAAAGAAGATGACAAGCCCTCCTCTTCCAAGTCCAAAGCAAATTAAAATGTGAATTTCACAAACTCAGTCGTTATTGCCTCTCTCTTTGGTCCCCCCGAGCGCCTTGTTGAATATGTATTTTACCTTTTTTTTTTGGTAAATCAGACAGCTCTCTTTGATATCAGTTTTCGATCGAATGCTTTGTCTTTTTTTTTTTTTATGTTTCCTGGGTATTGTATTGGATTGTTCACCTTTGAAATGTAATAGTTTACATGGTTATAACTTATATCTAATCTACCAATGACCTATATTCTTGGCTATAGGAAATAAGAAAGAGTTATTCTTACGTTCACCCTAGAGGGTGAACTTCTATGTTCACCAATCAATAGGATAGTGTTATTTTATATTTGATATCTTTTTAAAAGAAAATAAAATTTTGTTAAGTTATATTATGTTTTTAAAATAAAAATAAAAAAAAAATAAATAAAAAATAATAATATTAAAAAAACGAAAAAAAAACTTTTTTTAAAAATATTTAACACTAAACTCTAAAATTTTATGATTTACCCAAGGGTTTAGGATTTAGGATAAGAGTTTAGGGTTTAGTGTCTATAATTTACCCAAGGGTTTAGGGTTTAGGATTAGAGTTTAGGGTTTAGTGTTAAAATATTTTTTTAAAGAATTTTTTATAAAAGTTATTTAAAGGTTTATGATTTACCTAGGGTTTAGAGTTAGAGTTCAGGGTTTAGTGTTAAAATATTTTCTTTAAAAAAAATTATTTTCGTTTTTATTAATTATTATTATTTTTTATTTATTTTTGTTTTTATATTCTTAAAAATATAATATAACTTAACAAGATTTTGTTTCCTTTTTTAAAAGATATCAAATATGTAATAATGCAATTCTATTGGATGGTGAACCTAGAATAACTCAATAAAAAATGTGACGGTAAGGGTTGTGCACAATACAACCAATGACGTGCTTCCAAGTAAGTGTATAAAAGTCGCTGACCAATGAAAATGGCAGTACTCTAATATAGGTAGTAATCCGCGTTTTACGCAGGATGAGATAGTTTAGATCTTTGGTTAGAATCATTTTGGGTTCAATTTAGATTTGAGTTGTATGTCCATTTTAATTATATATTTTCAATAAAAATTCAAAAATAAATAATATAAAATATAAAAATTTGAATAATATAATAATAAATATAAAATTTTCATAAAATTTAGTTGAATTTAAATATTTGGATAAGAACGAATAAATATTATCAGTATTTGAACATTTACTGTTATTTTTAGATATTTACTTGTGATTATTTTGATAACTTTTAGATATTTAAATATTTCTAAATATGTAATAGATATATATAGTTTAAAATAATTAATATGTTTAAGTATATAATTATGAATTAGATATTTTTGATATGTAAAATAGTTTAGTTTATATTAATTTCGAGTCTGTTTATCTGAATATTAAAGTGTTAGATTCATCTGATTACTTAATTAGTTTTAATTTGTGTTTAATATTACTTTTAAATCTAGTTCAGTTTGGTTCCTTGGATCCATATATTTACCCATATTTACTTTATTTTACTAATATAAAGAAAAATAAATGTAAAACAAATATTATGGCTTATTTATCATTCATAATCATTAGACTATACTTTAAGAATAAAAAAAATGATTAGACGTCGTGTCAATATTGTTGGGCATGTTGCAAAATTGATATAGGCTATAACCAATAACATGTATTTTCTTATAAAAAATCTTGGAAGCTATAGTAAAAACACTATACAATCGAGCGAAATGGGCTAGAGTTTTGTGTAAAAATAATTTGATCTCTTCACTCGGCACCGAAATTATGTTTTCAATCAATATCACGAATTTTATTTCCTCTTAAAACTTTTTTGATTTTTGGTTTTTTTCTAGTAGTCTGATTATGTTTCCTATTCTTGGTATGATATGCAAACTTCGTAAAACAATTGATACTTGGCTGAACTAAAGATCCGACTTCGTGTGTAGTGTTTTTTTTTTAATTTATAACCAATCACATTTATTTGTTGCTTTCGTGAACATAAATCTCATCCATAGCCAATTTCGGCAAGATATGAAATTTTCATTTTCTAAGAAAATTCTCATTCTATCATTTTAGTTGATGTGAATCTTAATATTTTTTTCTTTATATCTTTTAAAATGATATTATTCAGTATTTGTACAAGGAGAATTTTAATTAATTTCAGTTCACTATTACAAATGTTGAAAATGCATGTACCAAAAATGAGTTGACAGAAAAAAAATAGAATACGAACACATTAAATTATCTGCAGTGTAGTTAAAAAAAAGGTGTGAACACATTAATTGTTAAACGATCGTGAGGACAACACGTTAGCATATTCACAAAAATATAGTGTGAACACATTATTAGGAATGTTTCTCCTTTAATATATAGAGGGTTTGATATTTGGTTTTAAGCGTTCGAAAGCACAATGTACGAGTTATCAATACTATCTATACTACTAAAAATCGACTTATATAAGGTTACTGCACCTATTCATTAATGATAAAATGATCATATAGCTAATAAATACATTGGTCGACCTATTATTTCACATATCATATATCTTACCATATATTACTCTAAGAATATTTTATTCTCTTTTAGTCCATATAATGTCGCATGTGTTTCAGTATAGATATATAAAATAATATATTATTTATCTTATTATATATTACTCTAACCATAATTTATTATCTTTTAGTCCGTATAATGTCGTACATGTTTTATTATAGACATATAAAATTATACGTATTTAATATACAGACCTATTAGTATATATGTAAAATCAAATGTTATTTATATACGGACCTATATATTAATGTTTCACCATATCGTATTTTTAAAAATTGACCTACAAAATTTAAATATCAATTATTAAAATAAGTTAGCATATAGAATACAACATATTATATCACATTATCTTAGATTATATAGTTTCAAATATTTACCAAATCAAATCTGATAAAAACATTTTACCAAACCATCTGTTAAAAAACAAATATATATATATATATATATGTATATTACATTAATTAATTTTTATAAAAAGTACTTATAACAATGATTTGTTATTTATTATAAATTTAAAAGCTATTTAAAAACTTATAAATTTATACTATTAAATTACACAAAATCTGCCAAGTAAATCTTAAATATTATTGACTCAACAAATATAATTTTTATAAATATAGTAAAAATATAATTAGAAAGAGTATGAACGGACATTCGAGTCAAGTACATATAGGTTTCTTGCGGATCTGGATCATGTAGGTCCTAGACAGTCGATTTTCATGGGTCTTACTGGGTTTTAGTCCATAATTCAAATACCTATAGTTTTGATTGGTTGATAATAAAAAATTAAATTAATTATATATTTCATATAATTGGTTGATAATTACAAATTTAAATTAACAGTATATTGGTATATTCAATATTGTATATGACCAATTTAAAAAAAAATCGATTTAAATCTATAGAGCAAATCTTTTAGTTAACGATATATTATATATACAATATTTAATAACAACATTCGGGAATATTTATATTACTTCGTCTACAATTTATTTAATATCACAATTAGTTATTATTTTCCTTATTCTTACAGAATTATCGCTAACCTACTTTAATTGGATTAGCATTAACTCTTAGAAATTAAAAAATATATATATAATTTCAGTATACTCGCATAATATTAAATTATCAAAAATATGCCAAATAAATCTTAAATATTATCGATTCAACAAATATATTTTTTATAAAATACAGTAAAAATATAATTAGAGAGAGAGTATGAAAAGGCATTCGGGTGAAGTACAGATAGGTTTCTTGCGGGTCTGGATCTCGTAGAACCTAGACACTTGGAACTAATAAGATATTTGATTTTTTTTTGGTTTTGGTCGATTTCTATAGGTCTTAGTGGGGTTGAATCCATAATTCAAACATTTATAGTTTTGATTGGCTGATAATTACAAATTTAAATTAACTATATATTGTATATGTGATTGGTTGGTAATTAAAACTTTAAATTAACAATATATTGGTATATATGATATTGTATATGACCAATTTAAAAAAAGAAAATCGATTTAAATCTATTGAGCAAATATTTTAGTTAACGATATATTGTATATATGATATGTAATAACAAAATCCAGAAATATTTATATTAATTCGTCTACAAATTTTATTATTATAACGATTAGTTATTATTTTCCTTATTGAGTAAATCTTTTAGTTAACTGATATAATTATTTTATCTTTTTAAAGGGAACCAAAATCCATGCCTCGTGTAACAAGACACACATTGGTAAATTGGCCAAACATGTTTACCTCATTTTTATAGCTTGGTAGTAAATAAAATTTCCATGAATCCTTATAATAACATTAGATTTACCTCATTTTATAATTTCTATATAATAATTTAGACGTTTTTATTTTAAATCGGATGTTTAAATTAAACTATCTAGTAATTCCAAAAAAAATTTATTTATCCATTTGATTCTTGGTTTGGAGTAAAAAAATCACGGGTTCAAATCTCATATAAAAATTCATTTAGAAGAATTTATTTAAGTTTGAAAACAAACCCGCGCGCGGATCAAAATCTAGTTATACTATTATTTGAGAAATAAATTTGGTTACTTGTCATGTTCTCTATGATTTTAGGTATTTATTTTATTTAAATACTAGACTAGACCTTGACCCACACAACCGTGTGGGTTTTTGAATTCTAAAAAATTTTAAGTTAACCAATAAAATTTATCAATAAATTAATATAATTTGATTTTATATTCCATCTGTTTCAAAATAATATATGTTTTAGATTTATTACACATACTTAAAAAAACATGTATAAAAATGTATTAGTTTTTGTGATTAAATATTTCTAATAATTTTTAGTCAATCAAAATTCAGTTAACACAATTAATATTTTTGAATTTCACAATTTATCATTATTATATGCATTGAAGATGTAAAATATAGATCATTAAGAAAAAAATCTACAAGATGGATCATTTTGAAAGAAAGGAAGTATTATCTAACTTTATAATAATGTTTGTGTGGCTTATAATACTATAAAATTTATAATTTGTATTTTTGTAACAAATTGTTTAATAAACATTATCATGTAAAACAATAATTTACGTATTTTTGTTTTACTTTTAAATTTGAAAAATATGTGGAAATTAAATTAAGTTGGAACTGTACAATAGAGAAGACATTTTTTGGGTATTGTTAAAAGTATTTTACATAATTACTAAA